GTTTGAGAAAAGCATTGGATAATTCTGCTACTTCTCTCTTGCACTGAGGCTGGTTTAAGAAAGTACATCTTTGAGGGGGAAAACAGACAATTTTTCTTGTTGAACTGTTAGAAAAAAAGCATCTGGAAAAAGCTTCCTCTAAAATGCTGAGAACTTTTTAACCCTGTAGCAGTGGTGTCTCTGGTGAGGTGGGACTTATGGCAAAACAAATGAGAGACTACAGTCCTGACCTGAAAAAGTACAAAAAAGACAAATCCTTGCAGCATTTAAAAAAATGTATTTAAAAATAAAATTTAGGGCTGGGATAGAGTAAGGAGTTTCCAGAAGCAAATAATAATTTAAAAAATGAAGAAGTAAATAATCCCTGCCTGGTCTCAAAAATTGAAAAATTTGCCTTGGACCCAAAAAGGAACCACTAAGGAAAAACTGAGGTAAGCACTAATGATGGCTGTAGTACTAAGGAGAAAACAAATGTAATACTCCATACTATTTGGGATTTCCTCCCCCGCCCCCTAGGAGATTAAATAACATGAAATAATATAGATGTGTTATTTAAACACATGATTCATAAATCTAAAAGGATTTTTCTATCATAGAAAGCTCATTCTTATTAAGAAAAGCAAGCAAAATGTATAAATAGCATGACTAGCAACACTTTCCTTAATAAGATCTACTTAAAATGGTGTCTGAAAACACTCGACTGGATACCTAGAATCTAACAGGTATTCAGTAACTATTTTAAGTGAATGTATTCTAAAATCTGTAAAAACAGAAAATGTTTCCAAAATATTTATCACTTGGAAAAACTGAGACAATATCATTCAATAAATATGAACTCAGTGCTTATATGTCAGGCACTGAGCAAAGATGAAAAAAGGTACCTCCATCCCCTTGGCAAAGGGATGAAGGACAGCAATAGACAACACACTGAGTGCCCTCGCCATAATACAGCACACACCAAAGAAGCCTAAGGATAAAGTGTCGGCTCCACGAGAAGACTTCTCACTCCACCATTTTTCCAGTGAAAAAGGAACTTAGTAACATTCAAGTACTTCTGTACAAGCAAGTTTTTAGGTGACTATATATTATCAGCATTAGCAAAAGGAGGACGTATTTGCACTGCAACACAGTCATGTCTTAAATTATAAGCCAAAATATTGTTGGTATAAATAAATATCCCCAACCACAGTGAAAGGTTAACTAGAAGCCCATAAATTAAATTGATAAAGAAGCTAATAGTAATTCTAATGAAAAACAAAACAAACCAAAACACAAGAGGAAGCACAATGGAAAACGAAGATCAGCTTGACATAATACTGATAATGCATCCCAAATAAGCACCATTCCTGAATACTGCGGGGATCCACGTAAGAAGCTTTATATTGGTGCCAAGTTTCCCAGGACAGACCTCCTGGGAGAAAAACGTATTACAGACAACAGAAACGCTAATGTTATGCTAGTTTTGGTTTATGAATACCATGTTTTAGGAATCCTTAATAATTCACTTGGTAGGTTATGAATAAGTAGCCTTGAGGCATATGTAAGTATGAACAACTAACTATGAAGCACTAAGAACAGAAAAGATTGCGGCCCTTCCCACAAGGTGGGGCAGGGTAGGAGTCAGTCACACTTTGAGAATCAGTGCATTAAGGGAACACAGGGGAGGAAACGCAATTCTTCTGAAGGTAGAAGGGGTAAGAAAAGCTAACACTGACACATTAAACTATAAGGTAATAATAAACTTGCCAAGCAAGGTATTTCAAAACTTCTATTTGATGGGTACAGGACCCCTGAAATTATGCCTGCAAACTACAATTTCAAGCAGTAAGAAAACTACGAGCAGGGTTCATTCCTTAACTTAAGGAGTGTATCAATTCTTTGTTATTTTAAATGTGTTCTTTGTTTTCAAAAGCTCAGGAAGGGAGAAAGGAGTATTCTCTAAGAGCCCACTAATCTACCTCATTGAGCCTCGTATATATCACACAGTTATCTACAGTTAAACACACTTTTATATGTTTAACCAGCAAGCATTCCCTTTTGGAATCGACACTGAGAGTAAAATATAACAAATATATACTTTTTTTCTAGTCACAAAGGTTTGTAAAAAAACTATTTCAAAAGAGGACTTCTTGAGCATTTAAACCAAAGGGAAATATTCTTTCTTTTGCACTCCTAAAAGTTGTAAGTCTCCTTTCTAAGGGCTGTGGCCCAGGTTTTGGTATTCATTACTTCCTGACTATTCTGTTTTTCAATTTTCTAATTTGAATACCAGGAACAAAACTATCCAAATTCAATGGTAAATGCCTTGAAAACGTCAAATGTTTGAAGAGAAGATAAACTGACAGTTTACTACTCCCAAATAACTCTTGAAATAGATTACTGGTTCCACTGTGGTTCCCATCTGTGTGCAACCCTGTGACTATCACATCCTACTTTACAAAGATGCCACCACAAAACAGAAAATCTCCAATTTAAAATAGTGTAATAATAATCACCATCCTCAAGAATTCCTAATAATTTCTCAAACTATATAGCTATTTGAGTATCGAAGAGAGTTGTATCTTAAAGGATGCAGAGTGACATCTCACTTCTTTATAACAAATTACGTGCTTCATTATCAGAGAAAAGTATAGGCAGCTCTTGACAGACTGGCTCATGAGTTGAAACAGACTGTTGAAAATGCACTCTTCAGGAACACACAACAATTTTTTTTTTTATTCTCTTGTCAAAACATACTTCAGAGTTGTTGTTTTTCCCTATTCACTACAGAGTAACAGACTATTATACAAAATGCTAAGTGTTTATTTCCCCTTGATTCTTGGCCAATTTACTAAGCGAAAAGTTATTTTGCTGACAAAGCAGAAAAGTCCACGCAGAGTATCCTGGAACACTTCCTATAATCAATAATTTAAAAATAATCATGGAGTATAGAAATAATGAAGGCTTGTGAAAACAGCAAAAAGCAGGTCACAGACAGACAATAAGCAGCAGGTCAGGATAACATGCATCCTGGGAAATCAGAAAGTCACAAAATCACCAGTTGTTTTTTTTAAGAGGCCCATGCAATATAAGATTAGAAAAACAGGAACTAAAGTCAGTTTTTGTTCAAAACAAAACAGAAAAACTTCAAAAATCACAAATTACCTAATATTTGGAAAACCAGCTCTAACAAATGCCACTAACCAAACATCAGGAAAATGTCATACCTAAAACAAGTAATTTATAACCTCACACAGAAAGCTACAAAGCAAGACATCATCTCAGGAAATGCACACTCCATATATGGTGAAAAAAAGGGAAACTTTGTGGAAGAGAAATTTAAAATCAACTGCTAATGGGCCTCAAAATTTGTAATTTGGGACCATTATAGGAAGGCATAATATTCATGGAGGAAAAAAAAGTCTCATCTATAAAATCACAACCGAGGGAGGATGTCACTACCTGTAGACATCCATATACATAAATGAAAAGGGGAGAAATAGGGAGGTAGTTTACATTATTGAGATCAAACACTTGGAGGAAAATTTCAGCCTCCAGGGAAAAACTTCCTGAAGGAAATTATCTTATATTGCTACCTCCTGCCAGCAACATTAGAAGTTCAAAGTAAATTAAAACTGAGAGCAAAAAGTGTAAATCTCTCCACCCCCATCTAAGCAAGGGCTGGCTGAAACCATGGGTTTAGATTATAATATGACATAAAAAGCTGTGAACCTTGAAGCTTTCAGTACAAAAATGGCTCCCAGCACTCTAGGTGGTCAACACTGCTGTATTAATGTGAATCCATTACACTTTCATGCTGTTTTAGTTTAGAAAGTGCCTTCATTTTCATTCCTGAACAGTAACCTGTTGGATGGTGGAATCACAGTACTTTACTTTCACACAGCTTGTAGTTTCTAAAGTACTTTCACACGCTGCATTATTTTACAGAAGAGGCCGAAAGGGGGTTAAGTCACTTGTCTCAAGACAAGTAAATGGTACGTGAGGAATGCTTGGACAACTGCGGGACTCTCCTCAGTCAATAATAGACACTTTCAACCCTTAAAAGTTCAAAGTCCGCTCCAGGGAGAGCAACCTCATTCAGAAAGTACAGAACCGCTGAGTCGCAGTGGACCATCTCTGCCTTGGTCTCCCTCCCCAAAGACAGGGAAACTGAGGCAGCAGGTAGGGACAAAGGCGTTGACTAATGTCACGCAGCGAGTGTTGGTGGGATGCACGTCACCCACCCTACCTGCACTAAGCCCAGAAGCAGCTGAATTCTGTGCTTAGGACACCTGGTCGGTCTCCAGAGAGAACGGTCTTGCTATTCCCGCTACCCTCTCGATATCCCCCATCCGGGCTTTCCTATGGATGGGGCTCTCTTCTTCCCAGAACCACCCAGCAATCCCTTCTCCCCAAGTCCTTTACCCGTTTTTCACATCGGGCCTCCGGAGTAGGGGAATCCTCTAACTCTGGCTCCCAAACCCCAGCCCCTCTCTCTGAGGCATCTCTCGACACCGAGGCATTTCTACGTCCCCTGGGGAAGGTCTGCCTCCCACCCTTGCTACCTAAACCTCAAACTCCACAAAAGGAAACCCTCCCAAAGCGTCCTCCCATCGACTCCTTCCACCCTGGGCATCCCCGAGAGAACTCCTAAAGCCTTCCAGGAGCTACCTGCCTCTCACCTGGGCCCCTTTATCCGCGGCCTCCTCAGAAGGGCGACCCCCAAGAACCTTCTCCGGTCAAGAACCCCCTAAAGGGGGGAACACCCTCTTCCAGGAACCTCTTCAGGCGCCTTCAGCGCGGGCCCCGGTGAAGAACCTCCGGACTGTTTCCCGAGCTCTGCCCAAAGCCACCCCTCCCGGGCCCCTGCCAGGAGCCTCCCTCAGCCCCAGTCCGGTCTCCCCGCCGCAGACTCGGGCGGCTCTTCCCCACCCTCACGGACGTCTCCAGCCCTCGGACTTCCCCCCGCTCCGCGTCCCCAGGGGCTTCCCGGAGCAGCGCGGCCGGGCTGCGGCACTGACTTTCTCCAGCTCCTGGGCCCACTCGAGAGAGGGGGTTGCGGCGGCGGCGCGACTCCTTTGTGACAGGTCCGAGAGAGCGGTAAAGATGGACGCGAGGCCACGGCGCTGCCATTACGCGCTGGGCCCACCCCCGCTTCGTACCGCCCCGGCCCCTCAGTCCCCTAGGAAACGCCCCTTCCTCGGTGGCAAGCCCTCTCCTTAACAACCAATCATCTTGCCCAGACTCTGTCACGTGATCACACGACCCGGCCCGCCCCACAGGCGCGAGCTGGCCAATCCCTTTGCTGAGATGTGAATGGCCCAATCAAGTGTCTCCCACCAGCTTTCTGGGCACCGGATTTCCATCGGACTCCTGGGGAGGAAGAGATGTGAGGATTGGGTTACGCCGCCGGAAGCGGGGCGGAACTTTGTGGTGGCGGCGAGGAACAGGAAGCCCTGAAGGGTCAAAAGGAATACAAAAGCAAAGGCTGTTTTCTGTCTTCTTCTTTTTTTTTTTTCCTTTTCTTTCTTTTTTCCTGAAGAGTGAGCGGCCTTTACGGTGGCGGTTTGGGGTGGGCGCCACCAAGGAGAGGGGGTCTCCTCCTGTGCGCCGGTAGGTGAGTGCGGCCTGGGTCCTGGCCAGGCGGCGAGACCTGGGCTCCAGCTTCTCTGAGGAAGGAGATAGTGGGGGCTGCGTGTGATGTGAGGTTTAGGGTCCAGGCCTGTACTCAGTCTGTGCACTCGCCTGGTGTTCTGAGTCGCTGGAGCCAGAGGATTGCGGGGTCCAGGCTGAGGGGGTTGAACGGGAACCCGCCCGATGGTCCCCAGGTCGTGTGGGGAAGGATCCTCGACAAGCAGAATTGGGAGTTCAGGCTTCTTGCGAGCTTCCCTCCACCTGTTTTGCTAGGTGGGGGTCACCGAGCCACCAGGTGAGGAGCGGGCTCTGTTCTAGAGGTCTTGGAACGGCTCCAGGCTACTCAGGAGATGTGGGGATGCCTGGTTGGAAATGGTGGAATCACAGCCTGTAAGTAAGTGTAAGATGGGAAACACGTGTGTTATGTACCTTGTACCAGTTCCGTAGCGTGCTCGTTTACAGAAAACTTAGGTAACTAAGACCGAGAGTTGAGGCATCTTGTTGGAGAGTTGGTGGCCCATGTGAATGTCAGTCCGCCCGGCGGAAAGGGAGGAGACCTGTTCGTTCATAGCAGCGGTTCTTAAACTGTAATAGTAGAAAACAAGGTCTTCTGCGGCCCTTTTAAAATGCAGATTCTGGGACCTTACCCCCGGATAGTGTGACTGAGTAGGCCTGGAGCGAGGCCCAGGAAGCCAGGTGTGGACCTGGTGGTCAGAATTCCCAGTGACCTCTTGGGTACCAGCTGGGAGGTCAGGTTTGTTGATTAAGTTATTAGGTTTAGCGATGTGCTAAGAGGGACCCCTTAAAATGGCTTGGTGGGCGCTGCTTCTGAAATCCTTGAAAGGAATCCGTGTGTGTAGATTCCTTTTTGATACACAAGGAATTGAGCTGAGATAAAAGCAGTTTTTATGGTCTTTCAACTAGAGCTTGAGATGAGCTGTTCATTTGTAGGGATCTGAAAGCAGAGGCTGCCCACTTGTCTTTCTCAGCTGGAGTCTTGGTGCCTTTTACACCAGTGGGGGCCGGTGGGGAAATTCTTAGTGGTTCTAAGCATGGAAGAATTACTTCCAGACCGTCTACTTAGTTACCAGTTTTTTCTTTCACCTTCTAAGAATCTTGATGTTTGAGTAGAGTCAAGTTTCTGCTTCAGAAATTGAAAACCACGTCTGTTAAATGAAGTAATTTGAGTGCGTGGTTCAGCCATAGGCTCAGTCATAGTGTAATTATGCTTTTGTGGCAGCTAAATTAAGCAATTTCAGCATGCTCACTTGGGATCAACTTTTGAACATACTTTGTCTTCATTCTTCAACATGTCCTGTCTCACTCTTTGCTGTAGGATGTTCTAAAGATTGTTCGATCTTTGGTTTTCTGTATTTTCACTATGATGTATCCAACTATGGATTTGTTTTTGTTAAACTTGGTGTTTATTAGACTTCTCGAATATTTGGATTAGTGTCTTTCATTAGTTCTGTAAAATTCTCAGCCGTTTTATATTCATATATTGCTTCTGCCCCATTGTTTATCGTCTTTTTTCTTTACTGATTTAACATACTTTTTACTCTGTTCTCTTCCTCTCACTCTTTTTATTTTTCCATACTACATTCTGGGTAAGTTCTTCTTCATTAATTTTGCTTCAGTTGTTTCTAAAGTATTATTAAACTCATCCATTGAAATCTGAAATGCAGTTATTGCATTTTTTAGTTCCTGAAGTTCTTTCTGTTTGGTTCTTCTTCAAAAGTGCTGTACCACTGTTTTACAACTCCTTATTAATTTTAAGAGTTGGTTTTTATTTCTTTAAACATGGTAAACGTAGTTGTTTTATAATCTCTATGTTTGAAATCCACTATCTGAATTCCCTTTGGGTCTGTTTCTGTTGCTCATTATTTCTGCTGTTTTTCTTCCCAGTTCACCTTTACCTTAAGAGTGTAGTTCTTTGGGGTGCACATTAAGAAAGAGAAGGAGGTGGTTATCAGACATCATCACATCCTATGTGGGTTCCCAGCTTTTACTTTTGTTTCTGTTGCTTTACAGGGGCACCAAAACAGCTGCTTTTAAGGTCAGAGACATCCTCAGGCTGAAAAACAAGTTTGAATATTGGGCTTACTTTCTGTTTTTCACCTTTTCTTGGATTTTGGCCAAATTCTTTACTATCTTGTTAGCTTTTCTGTTTGTTTAAGAATTATTAAAAAAATTTCTTCCAGTTCTTTTTTGTCATAGAGGTAGAGAATTGGTCTCAATTACCTAGCCCACTATTTCTGGAAGTGAAAGCACCTTTTTTAAAATTTTTTATTTTGAATGTGAAATTTGTGATTTCAGGCGGTCTTGAGTTAAAGATTATTTTTCTTTGTATACCTAAAACTGCCACCACTTTTCACTGTGCCAGTGCCACAGCCACTATGAAAATTAAGCTTCCCTGATGCTTTTTTCTAGCCTTCCTTTTCTGAACTCCTTAGTGCATAGCTTCTAATTTCTTACAGAATTTAACCTCATTCTGCTTTTTCTTAAATTGCTCATGTGCCAATCTTATCTTTTACTGAACGCACATTCCTCACTTGCTAAAAAGTAGCGTCGAGTGCCAAGTTAGTACCTAGGCTAGCATTGTGCCTTGCATATAATAGGTCCCCTTAAAGGTTTACTTCAAAAATACAACTGAATGAGTTAGTTGGCCTTATGTGTGGTTTGTGTAATGCAAAGCCTTTATTTTATTTTTAAATTTGATCTTAAGGGGAGTTATATAAAACTTGGGGGAGTGGGAGTATGATTTAGTGTGGGGTTAGGATCCAAAGCCAGCCCCAGATGGCAAATCAAAGCTACCCTCAAAAATCTTTTAGGGAAGCACCATGTTGGATGTAGGTATACCACCAGCGCAGCAAAATTCCAGCATGGCCAGGTTTTCCTCCAGCTTTGGAACAGATGCTGTTTTTCTTCCTGTGAGCCCAGATGAAGTAGTTGGTTTGCATTTAGGAGTCACAATGTGTAACCAATACAATTAATATTAGAATCATACATAGTGAGGGAAATGTTTATATTCAGAGGCACACATGAACTGGGGAACTGAGGATCAGCTAAGGAAACCAATATTTTAAGTTCTTTCTTTTTTCTTCCAGTGCATATATATAAATTCAAGGTAAATGCACAGATGATGAGACTGTTCTCATCTTATGGGAAGATAAATGCGTATGTAGGTATTTTAAAAAAACATAACTTTTTCTTGCATGCATTTTTTAGATGCCTAGACAACCAGAATGTTACTACAAATTGCTCTTCATAATAAACATTTTAAATATGAATTAAATTGCTATGCCATACCCTCATTTTTAGAATCTTTTAGTGTCCTTTGGTACTGGAGTATGTTAAAACCAGCCTCATTGTTAGAACATTGAGGATTATTTTGTCTAGTAATAAATGCTAATAGAGTGTTCTCTGTTAGTTGTCATTCTCTGAAGTTTTATAATACAGGGAAAATCGGCTTGCTTTAAATTACTGTAGCTTGGTAGAAGAGCCTTTTTGACAGAAAGCAATCTATTTGGAATATAATTAAGTTTGTCAGATGGAGAATTCCTTAGTTGCTGTCCTGCATTTTGAAATCCCATGTGACTTGAACATGAGGGTAAAAATGTAGGAAAAGCAGTGCTTAATTATACTGACACAAGGAAAATGTATTGGCCTATTGTTTTTGCTACCCAAAGAGAAGCCTTAGAACACTCTAACACAGAGATCTGATTCTCCCTGGTGTATTTTTACACTTACAGTCTATCTAATGTTAGAATTCAGAGGGTATGGTGGCCAGTGCTGTAAACACTTAAGTAGTCTGCCATCACAAAATTCAGTTCCGTAGGAAACAAGATCTAATTAGCTTGTATCATGACACTAAGTGGAATCATTTTTCATTTCAGTGATAGCAATTATTTTGGGGGCAGCAATGTAAGTTTTGTATCTTAAAATTTGTATGGCACGCTATATAAGACACTGAGCCCATTTTGTCGTCCCAACCTGGAAATTAAATACCACAGTCCCCAGTACAAACACAGTAGTGCAGTGTTTAACAGTTATTTTGGCTTGAAATCTAAGAACTTTGTTTTTTTGGCTGTCAAGCAAATGTGAAAACTGTGTTCTTTATTTGTATCAGTTTGAAACTTTTAAGTTTAGACAAAGTGATTTTGGTATGTTTTTGGTTTTCTACGAATTCCCTATTTGAAGAACTTTAATCTTTAAAAAAACAACCTAATGTTATGTTTTTGATCATTAAACTTGGGTCACCTAGAAGAAAAGAGCTGTGTGAGTAAAGGAAAATTGACAGCATTTATTCTTTCTAAAATTAAACACAATAAGGACAAAATACCGTAAGTATTCCCATTGTAATTTCTCTTCATTCCTACATGAATCTATATAGTTAGATCCTTGGGCCCCTGGGCTTTTGTCTGTTTGTGTTTGGTTATTAATTATTCTAGCAAACAAAGGGGAACAGTAAGAGACTTTTGGAAATTTAGCTGGGCAGTAAGAATTAGAAATAAACACTTTAACTTCTGGTTTTTCTATTTCCAAAAGGAGGTAAATGAGTTGCAAGTACTCATCACTTCCCTAATGCAGAATAAACAGCTGATGAATATTGGACTCCTCCAAGAAAAATGCTTTGTGTGGGAACTATTTATTACTCACTGTAAGAGAGCATTTTTTAGTCAGTTTAAATTAAAGGAGAGCAGCAAGAGTTATTCTTGAAGAAGACGTCAATTATGTAATATAGTAAAGTGATTTAATTTTTGGCCCTGCGTTTCCTATTGCACAAATTGTATGGTGTTTGAATAGAATTCCCTGTGGGACATAGAAGCCTCAGCAAATACAATACTTAATATCTACCATTCTCTATAACTTACATCAGACAATACCTTAGGAATATTTATGTGGAATCATACCTCCCTGCTTAAATTCTTCAAATTCTCTTCATGGTTGGTTTATTCAACAGGTATTTATTATATACCTAATATATGCCACACACTGTGCTAATAATAATAAACACAGTGGATACAAAGAGCTACTTGCAATAAAAAAAATTACAAAACACAATGGATAAGTGCTATAGTAGAGTTATAGATGGTTGTAGTGGGGGCTAGAGTAGAAAAGGAGACTAATGGGATGCTATTGCAGTAGTCCATGCAAGACAAGGCTCTGAAGAGATTAGAAAGGAAAGGACTCTTTTCTTAAAAAAAAACAAAAACAGAAAAGAAAAGAAGAAAGGAGAGGGTGGATTAAAAAGAGGTCGTTAGGAGATAGAAAAACAGAACTTGGTGACCGGTGGAATGTAGGGAGTGTGGAAAAAGGCGTTTGGGCGTCAATATATCCAGGTTTTCAGCCCAGGATACTGGATTGATCCATATTCATGCCCTTCATTACTGCCTCTTACCTGTACTGCTCACTTTGTTAATTCACTGTATACTCATATACTAGTATCTGTTATTAACTAGTTCAAAGAGTACTAACTCTTAAAGTTTATTTCCTTTATACACCACATAGAATTTGGCACAGTGCTGGACACAAGAATTAAACATTCAACACAATGTTTAGTTTATTTAAATTAAAGTAACTACTAATAAAGTAAAATAGTAAAATAAAGAACCACACTAAAGGGAAAATATAGAAACACCAAATTATGTATACATGTAAGTTTTTCCTAATTTCAGTTTGATGCGATCCCTTTCCCACTTCAAATGTCATGATAGTTTATGTCACTGCTTTATATCTTCTCCACTCCTTGAAAGCAGACAGCAGTTCTCGCATTCCTACAACCTGTCCAGAGCTTAGCATAGTGCTTTGTAGTAATGGCAAGCCTTTCAAAGCACTTTTAAGCATGTGTTAAACACTGTGTGAAGTGCTTTCCATGAATTAGCTTGTTTATCCTCACGACATATTTATGTTGTGCAGTACTATTTTAATCCCCATTGGTATGTGCATTCTGAGGATGAGGAAACCAAGGCTCAGGAGTTAAATGACTTGCCCAGGGTCATACAACTGGTAAGTGGCAGAACCAGGTTTTGAACCGGCGTCTCTTGATTTCATAGTCTTCTGTACTCGATCATCACTTGTACTTGCTCTTGGTAAGGAGACTGCAACAGAAGGCACTTTTATTGGTTGAATTAGATTAGTTGTAGGAAGAGTGTCTGAAGTTAAGCTTACTTTTTAGCAGTGTTTATTGACAGTGAAGTTTTGAATCCTGAAAAGACCTGTGTATTTCTGGAGAAAGAATATTCTGAATGTTATCCAGAATATTCAGGAGTATGGCCACTTGTTCGTGGACATTTTCTGTCCTTATCTTTGACGTCTCCTTACATAGAAAGATGACCAGATTAATTAGCCAGAGGGCCACTAAAGGCTAGGAGGGAGCACCAGTTGAAGTGCCAAGGAATGAGGATCTACAGAAGTAATGCAGGTTGAAGCAAGATGGATAAAGCAGTCTGTTTTAGTCTTGTCCCTAGAAGTTCACTATAATTAGGTGTGGCCATCTAGCTTTGTTTTAGAATGAAAAGAATGTCAGGATTATAATACTAGATTTAAAGAGCAGATTTACAAGTGTTAATTAGTTTTGACTGTGATTGTGTTGTCCGGAAAACAGCCCATTGAGAGCTGAGAAGTAGAGTTTCTCTGTCAAATACTAAAGCCATTGTCTTTAAATTTCCTTTTTTTAATGTGCTTCTGCTTTACTTTCATTTTCATTAACCAACGGTAGTTCCTGGTGTTGTCCCTGTGTGTGAAAGATGGATGGGTAATAGCCAACTCCTCTTTTGGTAGATGAATTCTAACACTTAAGAGAAAAAGACTGATGAAAAAGAGAGTAAGAATTTCTTAGAATCCCATAAATTTGTCTTTTCCCAAAAGTGATTCATCAATGTTGGGAAGATCCTTACTTCTCTAGAGTTTCTATTTCAAATTCAAACTGTTGTTTCCATGTATCCTAAAGGCTTTGTCCCTGAGTTTCAGGGATCTTAGTTAAACGAAGGTAGGTTCTTTCCAAAAAACTCAACGGGCCATGAAAATTAAAACAAATGGTTTTCCTTTCGTAATTTTAAGTTATAAGAATTAATCTTGAGAGTCTCTGAATTCTTATTTGGAAGAATGTAAGATTCTAGGTTTTATTTTGGCCTATTGGAAGAATATTCAGTATTAATATGTATTGTTTTTATTTTTTTTAATGTATAATGAAAGTAAGATACATTTAATGGAATGCCAGTGGCATTACCATATCCTAATATTTATTTCCCAGGTTTACATTATATGCAATCTGACAACTTCATTGCTTTGAGACACTATTATTGTATTATTCTCCATTTTGTAAGATTAAAGGAACTAGGGCTGTTTGGCCCAGAAAAGAGACAAATGAGAGAAACATGGGGGTTGTCTTCAAACAACTGAAGCATTGTTGTGTTGAAAAAGGGATTTGGCTCCTTTTGTGTAGTCCCAGCAGGTTGGACCTTTGTGTGGAATTTATAGGGAGACAGATTTCAGTTCAGTTTAAGGAAGAACTATCCTGCCAGTCAGATCTGCTCAAGGAGGGAGTCTGCTGGCTGGTAGGGAATGCGGTGGTCCATCTTAAAGTTGTAAAAGATGGGTTCGCTGAAAATCTCCAGATGCCAGATAGGGAATCAAATTAGGTGGGCTATGAGGACCCGACCCACTCTGAGTTATTTACCAGGAAGTAAGGGTGAGGGGAAGAAACCAGACTGCCACCAATATAGGGCAAGAAATGAGAGCTAGAGCTAGAGGATAAGAGGGGGGGAAATTGAGGGTCCAGTCCAGTATCTCTCTCCCATCCATTAGAGTCCTACATAGTTGACATTTTCTCTGCCATGGACGTTTAAGAAAACGTTGCCTCTCGTTTCATAAGCAGTCATTCTGCAGAACTTAAGGAATGTTTGGCATGGTCACAGAGACTGAGCAGTTCTGTTTCTGTAATGGGCTTCTGGCAGGAGTCACTGAGTTACGCTACATCAGCAGTGTCCAGGTTGTGGGCTTTAGGTGAGAGCAACGCCTTCTGTCAATTGATTTGGTTTTCTTTCCAGTAAATTTCAAAATGTTCTTATTGCTGTTAAATTGAACTAAACTTCAGCAACAGTAGGGTTTAGGCTGAGATTCTCTTGTTCTGAAGGTTTGGATTTATTTCTGCAGCTTCCATTTCTGTCTTTATTAAATGTTGCATGAACATCTTTAGCACTGGAATTTGATGTAGGAAGAAAGCTGAAATTGATATATCCTTTTCAACCATGATCCCTGGTTCCTGGGGAGAGGTATGGTGAAGTGGGTAAGAGTATGAATTTTTGATGTCAGGCCTGGATTTGATTCTCATCTCTGCCATTCATCACCTTTATCACCTGAGACAATGGCCTAACTTCTCTGGGTCTCAATTTCTTCATCTGTAAGAAAAAATATTTCTCATAGGGTCAGTGTGAGTGTAAATGAGATAATAGTACATAAAAAGTATTCAGTACATGGTAGGAGCTCAGTAAATGGTTGCTACTTTATTTTTGTGCTAGGAGTAGAGATTTATTGTTTTTGTTATCAGGGGTCGTCTTGAAATGGACATTGAGTTGATGTGCCAGTAGTACAGAATACGTAATTCCTTGTTAGGATGTAATTCTGTGAATAATACATAACAAATCTGAGGGGTAATTCCACAATTCTTCAAAAGGAAAGACACCAGCAAAGAAAAGTAGAAAAAATTAATTTAAAAGGAGTAATGCACACTCTATTTTTCTTTCCTCCCTCCTTTCTGAGGTTCAGGTAGAAGTATCTAGATTGGGAATTGGAAGTCTTCTGCACCAAGATACGCACAAAGTGGTTGAGGTCATCGTGAGACTGAGAAAAGAGAAGGATCGAAGATAGAATCTTAAGTAGCACAGATACAGAGTTTACAGGGAGGAAAGTCAGGAAAGAGGTGAAGTAGGAGTCAGTTAAGTATAGAGCACAGTACATTGAACCTGAAGTTGGGAGATCTGGGTTTTTCTAGTCTCCCTTTTTCCATTCATGGTTTGTGTGCCTCTAGGTATATGACTTTGCTGTTGTACAGACCTGACTTGGTCTTTAAGGCTCCCTAAATACCTGAGTGTCTCCATTCTGAATCTACTTGGAAACAAGAACAGGTGAATCAAGGTCGTGTAATGGCCCTGAAACAGGAATGAATTTCAAGAAGGAACAATGTCAGATGTTACAGAAATAAAGGAGGATAAGAGCTGGGGAAATATAGGGTGCCCAGGAGGCCAATTTGTCTAGATTAGAGGGACAGAAATGTATGCAATATAAGATTTACTATGGAATAGCATGTAATGAGAATTATTCTAGGTCCTCTTATTGGCTTTGTAGATAACATTGTTAATAAAACTACTTGATGCATTAGGAAAAATTTAATCATGTGCTTTCATCATTGATCTATACATTACACTGCTTGAAGATTTCTTTCAGTCAAGGTCAAAGGGAATTTTGAGGTGGTCTACTGCTGGGTGAGTCAGAGCTAAATCTTGTTTCTCTTTAGAATTTTGATTGCAGTTCTCACTTGAAATGTTTTGTTTTCTGTAGCCTGATTGTTCCATTATGGATGGAGGGGATGACGGTAACCTTATTATCAAAAAGAGGTTTGTGTCAGAGGCAGAACTAGATGAACGACGCAAAAGGAGGCAAGAAGAATGGGAGAAAGTTCGAAAACCTGAAGATCCAGAAGGTATATGGGCTTATAGTTTGGCATTCCACATAATGATCTTAATCCTTACACCAGCCCTGCAAAGTAGTTGTTAATGTCCTCACTTTAGTACAGTAGAGGAACTGAACCTCAGAGGGGTGAAGGAATCCGTGTTAGGCCTCTATAGCTGGGAGCAGAACCAGCATACTCACATCCTCACCCACACTGTCCTCCAGGAGATCCTGCTAGTCTGTTCCCTCCATACAGGTGGGTCCAGGATCAGAACAACTGAGAATGCTGCTGTTGTAGAGGATTTGGACTGGCCTCTCATCCAGTTGACTGTCTCAGGCCATGAGCCCTACTGACATTGATAGTTGGCTTTGAGAACTGCTGGCCCCTCTCTGAAGTCTAAAGGGAAGCTGTGGACTTTGTACTATTTTTGTGTTATCCTTGCCCTCAGATCATGCAGAGACTTGACTTGATCTTTAAAATCCTTTGTGATTCCAAAATAATACAATACGAAAGAGTTCTAAAGTATGTATCTTTTTTCCGCCTCTCCCCACTTTTTGCTCCCTTCCTCTTCCTTTCAGAATGTCCAGAGGAGGTTTATGACCCTCGGTCTCTGTATGAAAGGCTACAGGAACAGAAAGACAGGAAGCAGCAGGAGTACGAGGAGCAGTTCAAATTCAGTAAGCCTCAGAAAACACAGAGTCCAAGGGACTCAGCAGGGTCTTTTTGATGCACGTTTGCCTCATGCAGCACTTTTTCTAACTAGCCATGGAATTGTCTTGGTTATCTTAGTCTCTAAATGGTCATTTGGTGGAAAAGAGACAAATTTCTACCTTCTAGACCACATGGAACATTTTTGTGTAGAGCTCAAGATATCCATTTTAATGCTATGCTAATATCTAGCCATGGGAGGAATGCCTTGATTTTATGCCATGTTATCAATTCAGAAGCCATGGTGTTTACAAATTCTTTTCTTCTAATCCCCTGAAGGATCTGCTGTTTATTAAAAAAACGAAAAGGAAAAATCTTATTTGGCTATATTTTCCCTTTAGCCTGCTAAGTGTTCCTTGTTTAATTATTTCCTCAGAAAACATGGTAAGAGGCTTAGATGAAGATGAGACCAACTTCCTTGATGAGGTTTCTCGACAGCAAGAATTAATAGAAAAGCAACGAAGAGAAGAAGAGCTGAAAGAGCTGAAGGAGTACAGAATATCCTTTGTACTTGGAGAGAGATCTGTAAGGTGGCAGTTTCCCATCACCATCCGTGGATTTTAGTGTCTTCATAAATAGCATTAGGCCTTCTACTTGGTGATCTCGAAGTTCCCTTTCAACACTGATATTTTTATGGTTCTGAATAACTGACAGTGATTTATGGAGTGAATGTTGCACGCAAGAGTCTGTTGCAATCAAAAGTCCAGATCCTATCAGGTTAACTGAAGGCCTAAATCCCAGTAGTCAGTACCAGGGTATTCTTGCCTTGTGGGATTAGACTGAAACAGATGGCCAATGCAGTAAACCTCATCCAGGGGAGAAACTGGCTTTTGAGTTTTAAAAGAAAATGTTTAGCAACTCTTCCTGTGTCCTTAGTAACCTTCCCTACAGGAACAGCCTGGTCTGTCCCCACAGAGGCGTAGAGAAAGGGACAAAGATGACTTGGCTTTGGCTCAGCTTTGCCTTTTTGACATCCACTTAAATGTCTTAATAGGCATCCCAGATGTAACCTGTCTACATCAAAATTCTTAAGTCCATGCCTCACTACTACACCCTCATCACACTGCCCCCGCTCCCCCATCTACTCTCTTCTTTTTCTGGTCTTCCCAGTTTCAATAATGGTACTCCTATACCCACGGGTGCCTGGGCCAAAAATCACCTCCAAAATGTACTGCAAATCTGTGCAGTTCTTGCTGTCTCTGCTGCCATTGCAGTAGTTGTAGACTCTTCTCTGGACTGCTATGACCATCTGATTAGTCTGTCCTTCTGCTCTCATCCCCAAAAGTCCCTTCCCAGACAACAGTCAAAGGGAACTTTGGGAAACATACATGGGATTGTGTCACTTTCCTGTTTGAAACACTAGTGGCTTCCCGTTGCATTGAGACAAATCTACATCCTTTCCCCAGCCCTCCAGGGCTCTACATTATTTAGGCCAACTCATCTCCCTGTTACATCTTGAACTCACGCTTCCTGTTGTTCACTGCACTACAGCCTGCTGGCCTTTGTGTTCCTCTCTCACTGAGCGTTGTGGTTTCATCTCAAGGCCTTTGTATTTGCTGTCTCCTTGACCTGGAATGCTCCACCCTCAGATATTACAAGGCTGGTATTTCGTGGCCCTCTGGTCTCAGCTCACCCCTCCCTTCCTCATAGAGACTTTCCCTAAGCACCCCACCTAAAATTGCACCCACTCTTATCACTGTCTGTAATGTCATTTTTAAGTAGTACTTGTCACTACCTGAAAACTCTGAATTCATTTGCTTTGTGCTGGTTTGTTTGCCTCTTTACTGCTGGAATGTAAAGTAAGCTCCATCAGAACAAGGACTTGGCCCCACTGATTTTCCCAGTGCCTGGCATATCATAGGTTCTCAGAATATACGTGAATGAATTAATGAGTGACTCATAGGAGAGGTTAATAAGGACATCCTAGTTTTTTTATCTCCTATGAGAAATCTTGTTTGAATATTTCAAGCTTATATATTGAATAACCTTAGTAGTGTGATTGAACAGGTTTCACCTCTAAGGTTGATAAGACATTGCGTGTACGAGTATGTGGTAGTTGGGTTTTTGTTTGTTTGTTTGGTTGGGTTTTTTTTGCAGGGAGTGTGAGTAGGTTCCACTAAAGAGTTACATGGGAGAAAGTGTACATAGATTCCCTGGGATTTGGTTTAAATCCAGGTGACTGACACTGATTGAGATAAGGTAGCAGCATGATGCCACAAAACCCATTCCGAACTGGTAGCAAAAGACCTGGCTTCCAGTCCCAGCTCTCCTAGTGGCATCTCCTAGTATAATACTAAGATAGGAGTTGATGGAAGGTCACACCTCAATCCCAGCTGTAGGACTGAGACTGGCTTTTCTGAAGCTCCCCTCTCCCGCTCCCTTCCCTGCTGACCCCAGAATAATATTATGCATTGATGTTTGCAGAGACGGGCAGATATATGCATTGCATTGTTTCAGGTACCAGGCTCTCTTCTCTAAGGAAATACACGAATTACACCTATTACTTGAATTATGTCTGTTTTCTGTGCTTAATTTGGCAGGCTAGCAAATAAGATAGCGAGTGTCTCCCAGAGCAGCATTCTGGCAAGCAGTGTTGATGTGGTATGAGTGTGAGAGGCCCTTCGGTTTCCAATTCAAAGGAAAGAATGAACAGGGCAGCAGTGAGGCACAAGAAACTTGTCTGTCCTGGTAACATTACAGGACAGCATTGAAGAGGCCCCAAGGGTATTGGCTTTCATTGGAAACTTGGAAAGTTCTGACTCTTTAGAAGAACTGAAGAAAAGCAGGCCTTCCAGTGCACTGATATACAATCACTAATCCCAACCACACATGTAGCCAGAGACATGTTGAGAGAGGAATTGAAGGATTAGACACTTGTTTGTGGAAGTTCTAAACCAGGAGCTGGTTCTTGGCTTTGCTTGATTGTTGTAACGTGGTACACTTTATAATGTGATGCTTGTGAATACAAATAAGCTCTGGTTTGTGCCATATAAACAACAGAACTGTTATTTCATTTGGGAGCAACCGGTAGTTAGCAATATTGTGTGTATTAAAGACTATGTGATTTTAAAAAAATGCCTCATTTAATGAATTCCTTGAGATTTTTGAGTTGTGTTTATTTAAAGCATTTTAGGGGGAGAAGGACTTCAGGGGGAAAAATTGCTTATGTTGTGGATATGGATCAAAAATGATATTAATATTATTATCACCTTTACCCCATCTCTTCCCCCCCCCCCGCAACCCCCCAAAGAAAAGGTTGGAAGTTTTTTACTTTAAAAGAATAAAAAGTTAAGTGTTGGTTTTTGTCTGTGTCCTGATAACACATGTGTGCTTTCGTTGTGTTAATTATTTCCATTTTTTATTTTTCAATATTTAATATTAAGAATTTTCTTTGAGAGTTTCTATACCTTAATGATGGAGTTGCAGGTAAAAAATCACAGTATGCTCATGTTTCCACGATGACCTTAAACACATTAAATTGATGAAACTCAGAATAGCACTGCATATTAAGCATAATCCGCATAGAATAGTCCAAATATTTAAGGTAACTGTCGTTCATAAGAAGAGAGTTAGTGATCAGAAGAATGATCAGAATTAGAGTTTCCTTATTTCTGGTACCCAGTTTTCTCCATTGTTGAAAGAGATAAGTAGCTGAGACCAGATGCCCCATCCCTACCTCTTTGGGTTGATAATAATGCTTCTTAGATTTCTTGGGCACTAGATGTCACTATTGTTCCAGTAGGGCACTACTGCGTCTTAAATAAGGTATTGCACTATGTTGGAATACTTACCTATTGCATAACAGGTTGTAAGAGAATGAAAAGGAAGGTGGGGAGGAGGCTGGTAGAACAAAAAGAAAGTGACATGCATTGAAAGCCAGAGATTGACATCAGGCATGAAAAAAAGTGATGTTACACGTGAATCTGTTATGCTTCAGAAAATAACTTTTTGGTTCTTGTGTTGCATATGCACAGAGGTTTCTCATTAAAATCACCTTGAGAGTTTAAAACAGGTTCCTGGGCTTCTGGGACATCAGCATCCAGTAGGTTTGGGACTGGGGAGGAACTCTGTTTTTTAATGAGCCTTAAGTGATTTTGATGTTGCCTTGCACCAGCTGAGTAGGAGTTAGTCTCCATTATGTCTAAGATTGGATGCCATTAATAGTCAGGACATTCTGCAAAAGTTGATTTTACCCATAACGGGGAAAAGAGCAAACATTTTCTATTTTCAGGGAATCCACATTTTTTTTTTCTTGTTGCAGTATATTCCTTAGGATCTTTGTTCTCCCCAGCAAGCATAATATCAACCATGTGTTTGGTAATAGGTTTTCTGGCTGTGCTCAGTTTGTCATTGAGAATCAGAGGGAAAAAAATTTGCTTGCTTGTATTATCTTGTGCTTGATTTGCCGTCTTCCTCTGTGGTCACCTTTATTTGTGTTTAAATCAGCTGGATTTGACTGGCAGAATAAAGAGGGGAGCATTTTTATATATATATATAAGTAGGCTAAACATCCCATGGCAGAGCTGAAGTGCTACTGTATTTTACAGTGTTCTTTCTCTTGCATTACCATTGTTCTGTCATCTTTCTGCTTGGTTTGACCCTTAACCTGTAACTCACAGTAATCTCAACAAAGTTGGAATTTCTCCAGAAAACAAGAAAGAAGTGGAGAAGAAAGTGACTGTGAAACCCATGGAAACCAAGACTAAGTTCTCCCAGGCAAAGCTGTTGGCAGGAGCTGTGAAGCATAAGAGGTGAGCCAGGCAGCACTCGCACAGCTTCCATCTCCCTCTGACCTTGTACTCTGCATGCCCTTTGTAATGGTAGCCAGGGCAGAAGGTCACCCAAGCATATGTCTCGGTGAAGTCCCTTTGGTAGCCTTACCTCACTCCCCTTCCAAACTTGGTATCTTCTCCAGTCTTTGACCCTTGTCTCATTGTTCATTCAGAATGATAGCTACTCTTCACTGGGCACCTGCTGTGTACCAGGCATTACGTTAAGTGCTGTCCATGTATGATCTTGGTTATTCCTCAGCAAGTCTATGAAGTACAAGTTCCTATTATCAGATGAGGAGGCCGAGAATTTGAGAGGTTGAGAACCTTTATCCAAGGTCACAACCATAATTGGAGAGGTGGAGTTCAATATTTGAGCATTTATGTTTCTAGGCAAATGAGGTAGCAAGCTCTAGGAAAGGCTTTGTATAGGGTGTAATAAGAGCGGGAGGAGGAAACACCCAACTGTCTAGGCAGGGTGGGGTTTGTGTGCTCCCGTTGGAGAAGTTAGGGAAGGCATTAGACAGGAGATTAGGTAGGATGACTAGGGTTTTGACAGGCAGATGGGAGAGGAGAACATCTTAGGCAGGGGGAACAGCTGTTGCAAAGGCATGTGGCCTGTAAGCACATGGCCACTGTGACAGGGTTACAGAACTGGCTGGGATCGGCTTGATTGACGGGGGTGGCAGCACTGCCTAGAGGTTTTGGTAAGTTCTTTGTTATGTTTGCTCCTCCCTTTCCAAGTCCTAAAATGGCACCAGAGTGATTAGATCTGGTCATTTCAGTTTGACCAACCCTACCGTGAGCAAAATGATGTCAAGTTGAAGTGCAGTCTATTAGAAAAATCAATATGGTATATTGTCAGCCAGCCACATGTTTGGAAGGGAGTGTGTTGATTTAGTCTTGTGGTTTGGCACACCATCCATTGCTGCAGCTCTTCCTAGGATCACTGCTTACATGTCAAAATGTCATCATGGTGTAGCAGCAGAGGGGAGGGATAGCAGTAGCCGGAAAAGGGCCAGTTACCGAGCATAAATTATTTCTTTCAAGTTTCCACATACGCTTTCATGCTTGGCTCAATGTCTTTCAAGATTTGGACCTGGGCAGTTTTACTGGACTGCGCCAAGAAAGGGCTCTCTAGGTGGGCGATTCGTTACCTCTCAGCATTGTCTTCCTGCTAGTAGAATGTGTGTTACAACTATCTCCCCTTTAGTCCTTGGCACCATTCAAAAGGGCCCATTTGGTGACATGCCTGTAACCCTTTTTAGATTTTGAAACTACATCATTTATTGTTGTTTTGTGTAGCAAGGTGATAAATTAGTCTCCTGGGGCGGGAGTTCCTAATGTATCCAGCCTGGGTTTATTAGAATCACTTGGGAGTTTGTTAATGTGGCTTCTAGGCCTCACACTAATTCTGGTTCGCTAAGCTTGGAATGAGGTCTGGGAGTCTAAGTCTGGTTAACATCCATCACCACACATTTTACAGTTTTTTTTCTTGTGATGAGAATTTCTAAGATCTACTCTTAGCAATCTGCAAATATACAATACAGTATTATTAACTATAGTCACCATACTGTCCATTGCATCCCCAAGAATGATTAGTTTATAACCGGAATGTACCTTTGAAGGTGGTCAATTTTAAGGTGGTCAAATATATCAATATTTTCTTTTATGGTAAGAGCATTTTATATTTTGTTCAAGAAATTCTTCCTATGCTGAGGTCATAAGATAGTTTTTCTTCTCCGAGTTTTAGAGTTTCATCTTTCACATGTTAGTCTTTACCTGGAATTGATTTTTGTGAAGGGTATGAAGTAGGGATTCCATGTCAGTTTTTTTCCTCCAAATGAAAAACCAATTTTCTATTTTTAGATTTTTTTTTAAATGGGGGATTAGGGGAAGGGAACCGCGCTTGGGAAATGGGGTAAGGGGAACAGACAAGTTGCTGTCCTTTTGTTCTTCAGTCTAGCTGTGGAGGACATCGCTTCACTGGCCCAAGTTGGCACCATCATTGCGCTCTTCCCGGGTGAGGCAGATAAGTCCCCGGCTTCTGGACGGCCGCTCACGATGGCTGCTGGCTACACACGGTAGCTCATGGCAACCCACTACAGCAGGGGCTGCATCCTACGTCGTCACCGGCGACTCACGGCAGCCCAGCTCCAGGTTGAGCTGTTGTTCAGCATCTTAGCTGTAGAGGGCAGTGTCACTGGCCCTCATATGTGGGATCCGAACCGGGGCCCTCTGGCGTCCCAAGCCAGTTCTTAACCAACGCGCCACGTGGCCGGCCCTGAAAAGCCAATTTTCTAGCAACATTAATGAAATAAATACTTCTGCCTATTTTCCCCAGTGATCTTCAGTGTCACCTCTGTCTTATAACAAGTCTCTATACACATAATGGGTTTGTTTGATGGTTCTTTTTTTCTGTTTCTTGGAGGTGTTGCACCAGTACCTCTCTGTGTAATAATTATAGCTTTATAATAAATCTTGATATCTGATGAGGCAAGTCCCCTTACATTCTTCTCAGGGATATCTTGTCTATTCTTGGCCACTTCGTTTGTTCATATAAATTTTATTTATTTATTTATTTTTTTAGCTGAGCCATCCTGCCACCTGTTGGCAGCTCAGCTCGGGCTGGGAATCGAACCGGCGACCCTGTTGCTCAGAGCTTGTACTCTTGAGCTAGCTCTTAACCAACTGAGCCACTCAGTCAGCTCTGTTCATATAAATTTTAGATTTAGTTTAAGCTCTTTAAAAATCTCTACTGGGATTTTTATTGGAACGTTATTAAATTGGCTTGATAAATTTATGGAGAGAACAGATTGTTATGGATTTGAGTCTTTTTTATCCATGCCATATATCTACGTTTATTGGTAACGTCATAAAGTTTTATAGTTATTTTTCAAAAAAAGTTGTGTACATCTTTTGTTAAACTTATTTCTAATTATTTTATATTTTTTGTTGCTGGTATGTAAAAGTGCAATCGATGGAATATTTACATCCAGCCACCCAACTCATTAACTTTAACAATAACTCCTTAGTAACTTATTAACTTTAATATTTTATCAATGGATTCTTTTGAAATGTCTATGTAGAGAGTTACCATCTGTGAGTAATGACAGTTTTATTCTCTTCCTTATACATTTTTTTTTTTTAGTTGAGCCATCCTGCCACCTGTTGGCAGCTCAGTGGCAGCTCAGCTCGGGCCGGGAATCGAACCGCTGGTTGCTCAGAGCTCACACTCTTGAGCGAGCTCTTAACCAACTGAGCCACTCTGCCAGCCCATCTTATACCTTTTAATTCCTTTTCTTTATCTTACTGCACTGGCCAGGACTACTAGTAAAATGTTAAATAGAAACAGTTATTGTGCACGTTCTTGTCTTATTTATTAATTTTAAGAAGTGTTTTTAACTTTTTTACCACTAAAAATAATATTTCACCTCCCCCCGACCCCCCAGATATCCTTTAGTAGGTTAAGGATGTTCTGTTCCTAGCTTGATAAGAGGTTTTTGTAGCCATGAATTGTTCAATTTTGTCTTACTTGTTTCTGGTTTTGAATTGATAAAATAAATTTTCTTCTTTACTCTGTTACAGTAAAAAACTAAATTTATAGATTTTTCTAATGTTGCCTTCCCGTGAGAAAAAAACCCAGCTTGGCAGTAATGTATCATTATTTTTTTTTTAACTCTGCTGACTTGGTTTGCTAATGTTTTGTAACGGTTGTTGAATCTATGCTCTTGAGTAAGGCTGGCCTGTATTTTTTTTCCCCAGTGTATCTGATTTTGACAGGAAAATTAAAACTAACTTCATAGAGTGATTTAAGGAGTGTTCTTTTTTTCCTGTTCTCTGGAGGAGTTTGTATAAGAAGGTGGTATTCTATTTTGTGAAAGTTTGGTAGAACTCCTCTATAAAATCATTTTGGTCGCTCTTTTTAAAATTTATAATTATAGGACTATTGAATTTTATCCATATCTTTTTAAGTCAGTTTTATTTGGTTGTATTTTCTGGGAATTCATCTATTTTGTCTTATTTCAAATGCATTCGCAACCACTATATTTTATTTTTCTGATTGCTGCTCTATCTGTAATTGTCTCATTTTAAGTTTTTAGTTGTGTGTCTAAATAACTGGTTTAAAATTCAGTGTTGATCTCTTTTTACTGGTAGGTTTGAATTTTTAGGACTTTTTATGTAGTTTTTACTATCTTAATGATAGTTGTCTTTTTACTTAAGTTTTTTTTCTTGTATTTTTTTAAAACATTAAGATTGAAAAACATTTTATTCAGTTTTTTTTTTCTTTCTACTTGTTCAGATTTATGTATTCTATTTCTATTCTTTTGGTGGCTAACCTTGCAACTTAGCAGGCATTCTTAGCAAAACCTAAAGTAAATAGTTGTCTTACTTCCCTGTGAAATTATACACAAACCTTAGAACTTTTAGCTAAAATACAATCACCCTCTTCCTTTCTTCCTTTCTAGTACTGCCTAGCACTTTAGTATGGTCAAGTTTAACACCACAAATTAGATGTTATTTTTTTAAGTAGACGTTTGTTTAGATTTATATTTGTGTTTGCCTGTGTCTTTTCACCATCCCTTCCTTCTGGGATTAGGCCTTCTTTCTGGGATCCATTCCCATCCTCATTGAAGAACATTGTTTAGATGTTCTTTTAGTGGCGTTCTTTTGGGTGACTTTCAGACTCTAGCATGTCGCTGAGGATGTTTTCTTTAATCTTTAATAACTTAACTAAATTTTTGTCATTTATGAGCATGTCCAGATATTCTTGAAATCCATCTATGGTTCTAACCAGGATGAATGATAAGGACAACAAAAATCTGATGTTTAGGTGATGCTTGAAGATATAACCCTTTACCCCTTGAAAATTAAGTTGGTTTTATAACTAATAATATAACCAAAAGGAGACTCTGAAGTGAAGACTTTTCCTTTCAAATCACTCCATCTCCTTGAGGCTGCCTGCAACCCATATAAATGGTTATTGGAGCTTCTGATTCCCAAAAGTTCGATCCCCAAGATTGGACGTAGCTCACATCACCATGTTTTTTGTTACAGCTCAGAGAGCAGCAACAGTGTGAAAAGACTGAAATCGGACTCTGGTCCAGATGACAAGAATCAAGGTGGGTGGCAGCTCTCATTTTGTTCTTTACCCATAATGCACATGACACAGTAAAGGGCTGGAATGCATTGCATCTGTGAATGAATGCACTTATCTCTAAGCAAGCCTATCTACATTTAATTTACCAAACTGTTTTAATACCAGGCAGGATTTATACCCAAGAGTATGTCAGCTGCCCTGCAAAGTAATATGTTAGAAACCAGTAAAACTGATAAATGACAACTGTGCTCCCTAGGAGTGCTTACAAAGCCAAAGCCCTAGTCATATCACCTCGCTCACAAAGGATTTTTCTCTGTCCCCTCCAAATGTCAAATTTCTTGATTTCACCTGGCTTGTTGCCAGTGAGAGGTAGAATGCTTGGCTGCCTTCTGGGATGGTTGGATTGGATTGCGCCTAGAGCTTAATACAGTTTCCAGGAGTACACTTTCTTTGGTGGTTACTTCTATGTGATCAAATCTGGCACTGTATTAAGTGGCACAGTTTTAAGTGAAGGTGAGTGTATTCAGGTGGCTGTATCAGGAATGAAATTCAAGAGTGTTTTCAGTTCTACTCCTGACTCCCTGTGGGTTTGAGAGCCTGAGCTAAACTCAGTGGGTCATCTCTAAAACAGGGCTTACATTTATTTCTGTCTCAGAAAAATAGTGAATATTTTTTAATATGTATTTCCTGAGTACCAGTAGTGGTCAGTTGTTGCTGATACCTTGTTGCTGTAGAATCTGTTTTTAAAAAGGACATTTAGTGAAGAGTCTCCCGTCTACCTATGTCTTCCTCCATCCAGTTCTTCCAGAGGGAAACAGTAGCATACATTTTTTTATGGATCCATCCAGAGCTATTCCATGTATGTACAAGCAAATACAAATATATTTTTGAAAAAAGATTTTCTATAGGTAATGTAAAACATACTCAAACATTGAGATACTAGTGTAATGAACCCCATCATATAGCTTCAACAGTTTTTAACACATATCCAATCTTGTTTTATTTATACCTCTCTAACTGTAATATTGCGAGGCAAATCCCAGACATCAAATTGTTTCATCCATAATTCTTCTGTATGTATTCCTAAAAAGTAAGCGTTCTTTTTTTATTTGTCTGTTTTTTTTAACATAATTGGAATATCATTATCACACCTAAAGTCATTATAATAATTCCCCAATATTATCAAGTATTCATTTTCCCATACAATTTTTTTCTTGACAGTCAAGATCCAAGTGAGGATCAGACATTGTATTTGGCTATATGGCTTTAAAAAAAATTGTGGTATAATTCACATACCATAAAATTCACCCATTTAAAGGATACAATTCGTAGTTTTTAGTATGGTCACAAGAATGTATATTCGTCACCACTGTTCAATTCCGAAGCATTTTTATCACTCCCCTAAAACAACCCCATGCTCGTTAGCAGTTACTCCCCATCCTTCCCTCTCCCCAGCCCCTGGCAACCACTAATCTATCTGTCTCTATGGATTTGCCTTTTCTGGGCATTTTCACATAAGTGAAATCATGCAGTAAGTATATGGCCTTTTGTGTCTGGCTTCTTTTCACTTAACATGTTTTCAGAGTTCACCCATTGTAGCATGTATCAGTACTTTTTACAGCTGAAGAATATTCCATTGTATGGCTATACCACATTTTGTTTGTCCATTCATCAGTTGATAGACATTTGGGTGGTTTTCCACTTTTCTGGCTATTCTGAATCATGCTGCTATGAACATTCATGCACAGGTTTTTGTGTGAACCACTGCTTTCAGTACTCGTGGGTATACAGCTAGGAGTGGAATTGCGGGGTAAAATGGCAACTCTATGTTGAACTTTTTGTGGAACTGCCAAATTGATTTCCCAATCAGCTGCACCATTTTTACATTCTACCAGCAGTATATGAGGTTCTTCACATCCTTATCAACACTTCTTATTATCTTTTATATCCTTCTTTGTGTGTGTGAAGTGATGTTTCATTGTGGTTTTGGTTTGCATTTCCCTACATAATGGTATCATGTACTTAACTGGCTGTTTGTATATCTTCTTTGGAGAACTATTTACTCAAATCTGAGACTTTTTAAATTGGATTGTCTGTTGAGTTGTAAAGGCTCTATATATTCTGGATACTAGACGTCAGATATATGATTTACACATATTTTCTCCCTTTCTGTAGGTTGTACCTTCACTTTCTTGATAGTGACCTTTGGAGCACAAAAGTTTTAAATTTTGATGACATCTAATTTATTTTTTCTTTGGCTCCTTGTACTTTGTCATATCTAAGAAACCGTATGAAGATTTACCCCTATGTTTTCTTCTAAGGGTTTTGTAGAATTTTAGCTCCTACATTTTGGTCATTGATCCATTTTGAGTTAATATTTATATATGGTATGAAGTAAGGATCCAATTTCGTTCTGTGCGGATATCCAATTGGCCCAGCTCCATTTGTCGAAAAGACTATTCTTTCCCCCCTGAACTGTCATGGCACTTTTGTTGAAAATCAGTTGACCACAAGTGATTTGATTTCTGGACTCGCTTTTCTCTTCCATTGATTTATGTATGTCTATCCTTATGCCATTACCACAGTCTTGATCACTATGGTTTTGTAATAAGTTGTGAAATTGGGAAGTGAGAGTCCTCCGACTTTGTTCTTTTCCAAGGTCCCTTGCATTTCCATATGGGATCAACTTGTCAATTTCTACCAAAAAAAGCAGCTGGAATTTTGACAGGGATTGCTTGCATGTGTAGATCAATTTGGGGATATTGCCATCTTATGGCATCTTAACAACAGCCTACTATGTCTTTTAAATCTCATTTAACCTGTAGGTCTTCCTTTATTAATTTAGTTTTTGTTTCCTTTATATTTTATTTGTGACGAAACTGTGTCTTTGTCCTGTGGACACTCTAGATTTTGCTGATTGTATCCCCATGTTGTTTTCCTTTATACCCTGTGTTCCCTGTAAAATGGTAGTTAGATCTAGAGCTTAATTCAAATTTATTTTTTGGCAAGAATACTCTATTGTTCATTGCTAGTTCACTTGTTATTGTACCTTGGGAATCATTACATATCTGTGCATAAAGAGCGGCTTCATTCCTTTTTAAGGCTGTATAGTATTCCATTGTACGGAATGAACATTTTTATGAATGAGCATTTAGGTTGTTTTCATTCTTTCTATTATGATGTTGTGTTAAATAACCCTGTACACATGCATCATCTTTCATATCCACAAAGATATCAGGTTAAATACTTAGAATTATTGGGTCAGAGAGGATATATATTTGTAATTTAGGTAAATATTGCCAAATTGCCCTGCAAAGAAGTTATCCCAGTTTGCATTCTCATCAGCAATGTAGGCGTTCCATTTCACTGATATCTTTTTAATATATAGGAAACTTCCTGAACTGTGGCTACTTAAAATAGGGTAGGTGTACACTGTGGATGTACACACACACACACACACCCTTTATATAATACTTCATAGAAATTTTAAACATAGTTTAACTAGATAACCAGTAGCTCTGTATCTGGTTCTTATTCCCTGGTAGGAATTCTTTGCATGAGTCTGTGGAAAAGAAAACTCGTGTTGGGTCTTTAAACTGAGTCAGATACTTGTGTTTCAGAGCCATCTTTTTGTCATTCTGAACCCCTTCATCCTACCCCATCCTATATTCTTAAACAGCAGAAAATGGGCAAGAAACATCCTCTTTTGCTAGGAGGTAAAGCTGCACAAGAAGAATATCTCTTGTATCTTGCTTCAGAGTCTTGTCCTCAGCAGTAGAAGCATTTATCCCCCTTGATCCCCCAGAAAATAGCTCTGTGACACCAATGGAGATTCAGGCCTCCCCCACTGGAGGCTCTGGACTTAAGCTCTGAACAGAGCCAGAATACACAAGTTGACCCCATCTGCTCTCAAGTCACGCATCTATCTGAATCTCAAGAATGTTCCCTGTTAGTGATTTTCAGTGTTAATCTGGTACAACAGCATGGACCTACAAATATAGACGTTAGCAGGAAACGTCACCAAATGAGTGCAATCAGAGGGCACCATTTTGTTCTCTTTGGACAGTGAACTGCTTTGGAATGAAATTTGTCAGAGTCACAGCCTTTTCTTTCTTAAAACCTCCTAGGTAATTGGGAGTTCTGGTCTTTTGGCTTAAACTCTGCTGGTACAGAGGTCTAGATTCTTGGTTGCATTTTTGTGGCTGACTTCCATCCTTCCCTTAGGCCAGTTCTAGTCCTCCATAGGTACTCTGAACTACATCCTTCTTTTCTATCTAAGAAAAACCCTAAAATTCAATTCACCTTTGAAATACTTAATAAAATGACCTATCTCCCTGAACAGCTTCACATAAATTATTATACTTTTCTTTTTTTCTTTTGTTTTCTTTTTTTTAGCTGAGCCATCCTGCTACCTATTGGCAGCTTAGCGGCAGCTCAGCTCGAGCCGGGCATCGAACCGCTGTTGCTCAGAGCTCGCACTCTTGAGTGAGCTCTTAACCAACTGAGCCACTCGGCCGGCCCCGTATTTTACTTCTCTAAGTAACTGATTCATACCCTTATAAGATATCGGTTTTTTGTTTTAAACAACCAAATTTTTCTAAGAGTACTGAAAGTATCATTACATATAAGACATAATAATACAATGAATGTTCAAGTAATGAGTGGCATACAGTTTAATGTTATGTCCCAAATTTTCACGCCCCCTAAAACAATTTAGCCATTTGCATTGAAACTATAAAATGCCTTTAACACATTTTCTTGCATCCTCAATCACACATTGTGAATGTTGGTCTGCTCTGTGCCATTTTCCATGCTGTATGCCCAGAGGATGGTGTGGCGAAGAAAGAGCCCTTGCCCTCGAGAGACTTGCGGTTAGAGGAGAATGTAGACAAACGACCCCTCTCGTCATTAGGACTATCCAGTCTGCCACAGCCTTCCTGGCTGTCATACAGGAATGCCCTTGGGGTTATAGAGACATGTGGGCGTGTTCTTCCCTAATTTAAGTGGCCCAGGATGCTGTTTGAAATTTTTTTTTTTTTTTAAAGATTTTTATTGGGGAATTGGGGGGATGGGAACAGTGCTGGGGGATTGGGGAAGGGGAACAGACAAGTTGCTGTCGTTTTTTGTTCTTCAGTCTAGTTGTGGAGGACGTTGCTTCACTTGCCCAAGTTGGCACCATCATTGCGCTCTTCCCTGGAGAGGCAGATCAGTCGCTGGCTTCTGGACGGCCGCTCACTGCAGCTGCTGGCCGCTCACTCTGGCTGTGTTTGAATTTTTGCATTTGCCTTTAAAAAAAAAAAAAAGTTGGTAGTATATGCACATAGTAGAAAACTTAAAAGGGACAAAGGAGTGTGGAATGAAAAATTAAATCTACCCTGTTCCTCAACCACTCAGTTGCTTTCCCCACAGCAGCCACTGTTACCAGTTTTTTATGTATTTTTTCAGACATTGTCTTGCGTATACATGGGCATGTTCCCCTGCCCCCCAAATTACAACTGATACACACCTTTGCCTCTTTGATTTAGCACGATGTCTTGGAGATCATTTGATGCCAGTACACACAGAGATGCTTTACTCTTCTTAATGGCTCAGTAGTAGTCCAACTACATAACTGATCCCCTGTTAATGGACATTTTGGCTGTTTCTAGTTTTTGGCTGCCATCAACACTGCTGCAGTGGATGTTCTCATATGAACATCATTTAAGTTTGAAGGACATTGATGAGTTTCCTGTACCCCCTCAGCAACGTATAAAGATGCCTATTCCCCATACCTTCCCTCTTTATATATTGTTTATTCTCCTGTATCTGAAATTCATCCGTTTCTTTTTCTGTGAACTGTTTATGTCTTCTGTCCACTTTTCTATTCAATTGTTGGTTGGTTGGTGAGTTTTGGAAGAACTCTCTATAGCTTAAAGAAATTAGCTTTTGTGACATTTGTTGCAAATACTTACCTCTACTTTCTCGTAGTGTTGTTACCGCCATCTCTGCAGTCATTCTCAGCTCTCATTTCACTCTCCATGTTTTAACATTGCCTATCTTTAACAGCTTTCTCCCCCTTGTTAGAACTTCCAGTACAACAAGCACATATACTGAGCTCCTGAATTCTGTGTCCTGGCCATTTGAGATCTCTATTAGCTTCTCAGTGTATTTTTTGCTTTTGATTATATATTTGGAACCATGTATCCTTTTCATATTTACATGAGCTGTTAGGGGTTTGTTAAGACAAAACCCTAGAAGGCAATATGCTTGTCAGCCTGAGACAACGAAGTCTGAACTCCAACTCTTAACTCTGCAGTGAGAGCTCAGTTATCATTTTAGTACATTATTTTTTTATTCAGATTTAGTTTAACATTTTCTATTTTAAGAGGCCTGTAACCATAGCAGGTCATTTGACCTCCCTCATCAGTAAAATGGGGGAGTAATACCTATCTGTCAGGTTGTCATAGCAGTTAAAAGAGGGTGGAAACATTTAGAAGGGAGAAGAAAAAGTGGGGTCGAGTTCTTAACTTTCCCTTTAACATTTAAGTCCTGCGTTTTCTAGATGGAGGCTTTCTGTCACTGAGGTGGCAGTGAAACTTTGGGTTTCCTGGGGCAAAAAGAGCCTCAGCCACTTGGTGACATCCTGCATGATCTTAAAATATGCTCTGGCTGTGTCTTCAGATTCCTCAATTGTAAAATAGGAACAGAACCCTAAGGTGAGGATGACAGTGTTACCTGTATAGGGTTATGAGCCTTCTGTGGTAAAGCCTTCAGCACAGTGGAAACTACACCATCAACCCTGGAAAAGGGAGATGAAGTAACGTTCCTTCCTCCTCCTTTGCAGAAGCCCCGTCCTGTGTGTCTCTTGGAAGCACGTCTCTGAGTGGTCCATCCATCCACTGCCCCTCCGCTGCGGTCTGTATTGGCATCCTCCCAGGCTTAGGCGCCTACTCTGGGAGCAGCGACTCGGAGTCCAGCTCAGACAGCGAAGGCACTATCAACGCCACCGGCAAGATTGTCTCCTCCATCTTCAGAACCAACACCTTCCTCGAGGCCCCCTAGCTCCTGTGTCCTTTCCACAGGGAGCTCCTCCCCGAGAGCAGATTGGACGGTTCATCTGCCTACAGGCATTACCTCCCTCAGAAAACTCCTTTGCCTGCTTCCTGTGCACACTGTGATGTTTTGAATCTCATCTAAAAATGTGCCAGAATCTACCTGTGGCCCGACTTGTATTTGGTTTGTCTTTGCACTCCCGTGCAGATGCCCAACCGTGTCCCGCTGCCTCTCCTCACTGATGTGGTGGGGCGGGGTGGCGGGGAGGGGGGGATCAGGGCCCAGCAGAAATTCCACTAAAAATGCCCTGGGAAGATAGGCATCAGCTGGCTTGCAAAGGGTTTGGGTTATGTTGCTTTCTTGTTTTTTCCTTCTTTTCCTTTCCCAGCAGCACAGAGAAGCCAGGGCCTTTGTTGGACAGGTATTATTTAAACATTGTACTCTAGGTGAACATGGTGTTTGGTTATACTGCATTGTGGAGTGTGTGGGGGTGGAGAACTGACTCAGGTAATGAAATGGCGCACTCCCCTGGGACTGACCAATTCTTGATGTTGTGTGACTAAGATTAAAAACTGCATCTGCCGGGGGTGTCACTTAACACTCATCATTCACTGTGAAGTTTTTCCTTACTCTTGGAAAACTTATTCCTTCTTCTCCCTCCATTTTATCCCATTTAAGACTGTAACTCATAGCCAGAAATCAGAAGTGCTAGTAGGTATGTGAATGAGATAACTTAACTGTTGGCTTTGGCAGCTCCTGGGATCCTAATGTTGCAAACCAGTGGGACACGCCTGCATATTCTGACTGTACTCTATACTCTGTTGAGGTCTCTCTCTGTTTCATACGTTTATAGTTGTAGCTTCCAACTGTAGAAGTTATTTCTAGCTGAAAGGTGCTGCGCTCGTCCTTTCTTCTTCTTTTATCTGCCCCCCCACCCCACCCCTTTCCATACAGCAGCTCTGAGGCTGTGAGCAGCCAAGACCTAGAGGTACTGCTCCACCTCTGTGTCTCATAAAGGGAGGGAGGGAGGGAAGGATGGAGGGAGACAAGGTCTGGAGGCCTCAAGAACAGAGGTAGTCATGGGTTTTTAAAAAAATCTGTAAGCCCCTCTGCTCCAGGAGAACGGGTCTGTGCGGCTCTTTCTTGCCCTGGGTTCCTACATCAATTGTTTCTGCTTCCTTGGGTGTGAGACTGAGAGAGACACACACAGAATGTGTTGACACTGTGATGCTGGCAGGCAGAGAAGCTACTCAGTTTTAACGTGGGCAGAGAGGCCCTGGATCTCATCCAGCCCACTCCTTTTCCCCTTCCAGTGCAGTGACATTTTGATGCCCATTGGCAGATGGTGACTTCCCTTCACCCATAACTGATGCCTTGTGATTCTTCCTCCTTTTCAGAACTACTCTGTGCTAATTGTTCCTGACTGTCAGTACAGGCGCGTCAGCTCCATTCTAACAAACAAGACGTTTAGGTAAAATTGTGTAGGCACCTTCTGCTCCTTTGCTTCATTGTTCTGCGATGGTGCTGCCATTATTACAGAACGCACCCAGAGCAACCTTGAAGCCTTTCAGGAGGGAGGCTGAGGAATCAAGTCTCCCTCTTTATGTGGCTTGACTTTTAAGAGGCCATTACGATGCCTTGTGGCCTCTGTGGATGTTGGGAGAAGTTGACAAAGCGTTGCAGGAATTTGAAACATACTTAATTTGAAAGCTGATAAACCCAGAGTAAGCTCTGGCTTTTCCTGTGCCGAGTCGGATGCTCCCAATTCCCTCCCCACAACCACCACAGCTAGACTGTGTCGAGAAGATTGAGGCTCTTCAGACTGAGATTTCTGTTAATGGCGTCTCAGGCGAGATCGAGAATCACCCGTGATCATTTCATCGTGTTCTGTTGTACCCGTTAGTGTAGAGCGCTGGAACTGAAACACAGGTTCTGTAGAACCAGGAATAGCAAAGGAGGACCTGGTCTATCCATAGAGGAAACAGCCTCATCCAGTGTAAACCATGTGGTTCAAACCCAAAGAAGAGAAAGAAACGGCTGGAAGCAAACACTGCTTTAAACCATAAAATACAGCACGCTTGCCTTCATAGATAATTGGGGTTTTATAACTAGGCCGTAAGAGATAAAAACAAAGTTTGGGGTGGGTTTCTTTAAACCTGCTTACATTTTCCTGGGTGATCGTATTCTTACAACTCTTGAACCGTGCGGGGGAGAAAGCTTGTCTATGAGGAATCCTATGGCCAGCTCTATTTGGATTATCTAGTTTGTGTCACACTATGCTCTCAGTCACCTCCTGCTTGGCATCTGCCTTTGGCCCTATCACCCACCGGGGTGGGGAGAAAGGGAATATGAAATTCATAGCATCCACTTTTCACGTGTAAAGAGCAGGGAGGCTGATGTGACTGAGCCTAAATTGCTGGCTGGTGACCTGTTTATTGTATGGCTTCCTTGACCTCAGGACCCGGCTTCTTACATTCAGAGGGGTAGGGGGAACTTGAGCTATTTTCAGGAGCATTCTAGACTGAAAGTCGAGCCCCTAACGAGGGGTGACGCTGGCTTGTCCCTTGCGTCCTCGTTTCTTTCACTGTCCAGGGGTTCTTCCCTTCCGGCTGCCTCCTTTCCACCCAAGAGAGAAACTTCATTTGCCTAAGGCTTTCCCCCGCTTCCACTTCTCCTCCTTGGAAACTCGGCTTACATCTGCCTTCCATGGACAGCCCATCGTGGTTTTGAGCTTGGAGCCAGGCGTTTAGTAGCGGGGTCACTTGGGCAAGGCCCTTAACCTCCTTGGGTCTCCATTTCTTCCTCGGTGAATAGAAATAACGACACCAGTTTCCTCGCAAGGGTGAAAGATAATTTAGATTAGGTAGTTGGTGTGGTATCTGGCAGCAGTGCTCAGTAAGGGGTGGCCATCCTTGTTAGTCCTGTTACTGTCGGCCTCCCCTATTTCTATGTGGGGTGCCCAGCAACTTCCATTAGTGATGGTTTATGGCAGGTTTATCCATCCTGGCATTCCTCAGTTGCAGCTAGAACACTGACAGGATGAAGGGTCAGATCTGGTCACCAGAGCTCCAACCGCCAGCGTGTTCTGTGTGCTTCCCTCTTAGCTAAATGTTAATTGCTCAGGCACACCCGGTTCCTTGGCGCGGGTGTCCTAACCGTGGGTATGTGGCTCAGCTGTCATCTTAAGCCCCTCTAGAAAAACAAAAAGGAGAGCTCAGTGGTAATGCACCATCGTTTCGACTTGGGTATTTTCTTGATGTGCTGGCATGCCCACTTAGGATGGATTGCAAGTTCTGCTCAGTGGGAGACTCAAGTCTTGGCAACACTTTCGTAGTCACACATTCACGCCTTAGTGATGCTGGCAAGGGTTGTCATTTTGCTCCCTTACCTGCTGGAGCGATGGTTTGGAAAGAGAGGAAGTGTCACAGCAAGGATAGGCAGAATGTGGCCCTGGCATTGGAGCTTCCCAGAGGAGATGGGCAGCAAAACCCGCAGCCTCCACTCTGACCTTTAGATTGTCGACTGGGCTCCTCCCTTATATTTTAGTAATAGTCATGCACATCACTATCCTTTGGTTGATTTGTTTCCTTCAGTCTGTACTGAAGGCCTGCTATGTACACGCCAGGCACTGTTTGTGACATCTACGGACCAGTTTTGTAGACTGGAGTGTCTCACCCTGAAAAAGTCCTGTGAGGCAGCCTTCTTTAAGTTTTGTGGAGGAAACCGAAATTCCTAGTGGTTCAATGATTTGCCTGAGGGCACACAGCTAGGTGACAAGAATTTTAATTTGAGCCTTTAACTTTACCTCTGGCTTTCTGTGGTTTCAGTGAAACTTTAAATAATTATGCCAATTCTCAGGCCTCAGTGGAGGTGATTCCAGGGCAAATGAGTCTTTTAGTCAAATTTCCAAGTTTCAGCCTATTCATGTACAAGAACCAAGTAGCAGCAGCAAGGTTTGGTTTGTTTGCTTTTATTGAGGTATAATTGACATATATTAGTTTCAGGTATACAATATCATCAGTACTTGTATGTATTGTGAAATGATCAATCACTACAGTTATAAAACATTTCTTTCTTGTAATGAGTGTTTTTAAGATCTACTCTTAGCAACTTTCATGTATACAACACAGTATTCACTATAGTCACCATGCTGTACATGACATCTGCAGGATTGACTGATTTTGGTTTGCTTTTTTTTTTTTTTAAGTGGTGATTTGGCCTGGTCGGGAGGCCAGGCGCATTCCTGTCTTGTGAACTCAAGCCAGCTGGGAGTAGAGGGCTGCTTGACGACCCACCCAACCTCGGGCAGAGAAGGGGGAAGAAAAAGCAGAGATGACTGGGTCTCCTACGTGGAGTGGGAAGTGGGGGCCGCGAACACCACACCTGAGGTAGGTGGGTCCATAGAGTTGGAACATTGGGCATGGACCCTGGTGGAAAGCAGGGGCTCTGCCTTCACATGACCGAGTAGATGTCAGACTCCCCAGTTTCACTAATCTGGTAAATGACTCACATGGGGAAGTGTAAGGGAGAGGTCTGCATGAGACGTGGTCCCCTGAAGGCTAAGGAGAGGATGAGGGGCTGGGAGGAGAAGGCTGCTCCCCTAGAGAAGCCTCTCGTCGACCAGAACTTGACAGTGTCCCGGGCCGGGGTGGGGACAAACTCCTCTGGATGTGACATTCCAGCTAGGCCCACTTCAACTGCCACACAGGAGGGTAAACCAGCAGTCTCGTGCTGCTGTTTCCACTAACACCCAGTCTGCAGACAGTCTGAGCAAGAGCTAGGCATGAGCTCAAGTTGCCAGAGGCACTGGTCCTGGGACTCCCTCCATGTGGCTAGTGTGCTGTGATTTCCCAAAGGTCCTTGCGGGGAACCGGGGCTCCGTGCAGCCCTGCAGCTCTCTCCGGAGAAGAGAAGGTGTCCCTAAAGGATATTTCAGCTGACTTGGGGGCCACAGAATCAGCAGAGGCATTGGAAACTTCAGATGAGGATAGACATCCTTCACTCGCTCCCACCAGATAAACACTAGCTCCGGAGGTTACCAGGCTCCCAGAGGTAGGAACCTGCCTGGTGCCCTGCCCAGGTCTAACAGATCCCTAGTAAGAATTACATGGGAGAGTAGCTCGAGGTCAGAGACTTCCCCGTTTCAGTGGCGAGGAAGGACAAACTAGCAGCTTGAGCAGAAGACTCGTGCAGGGTCGAGGGAAGGCATCAATGCAGAGGAACAGGTGCGGGCTCTGGCGTCCGCCAGACCGGGTCTGAGTTCTGGCTCTGCCTCTAATAGGTTCGATTAGCTTCTCGACTTGTTCCCTCATCTCTGAAATGGTCTTAGACAGGCTGTTGGAAGAGTTCATCAAGAGTATGCCTGTGAAGCACTTAACACGGAGCTGGACACACAGTGCTTACCATAAATGTCAGTTCTTATTGGTTATACACTAGGCTGTGGCACAGGGGCTGCCGGGACTCCCAGGAGGAGGTGGATAAGAGAGAAAGATGTGTTATATGCAAGAGGAGGGAACGGAGAGGAAGGCTGGGGTTTCAGAGACCGGTCGCCTGGCTGGTTTCATGAAGTTGGGCCTGAATCCAGAGAGAG